CCTGGAAATTACCGAGACTTAGTGTGCTTTGAAAAAATCCTCTGGAGAGTGGGTCCAGGACTTACACTTGCAAACTTCCTGTTTCTTGGGTTGAGGTGAGTGTTCTTCTTCACTGACAACATGTTTGTTTATTTCTGTGAATTAATATGTAGTAATATCGAGATAATATGCATGTTATAATAAAATTTTGGATAAAATTAGAGCAATACAGTCATGGGGCGGGGCATCTTTTCTCAGCTGAGAAAAAAATTAAGTATAGATGCTCCTCTACTTGCGAAAGAGTTACGTTCTTGAGGCTTGTTTGTAAGTCCAACTTTACTCCTGTAGATACCAAACTTATTGTAAAAACTGAAAAGATGATGGATATTTAGCCCAGCTATACCCTTTAATACAGCCTTAAAACCTGGCTCACTCTTCTCCTCTTAGGTAATGTTTGTTTTATCTGGAATTTTCTTGAACGTTCTTAAGTAGAGGAGCACCTTTATAGTGGTGTTTCCTTATTATTTCACACTATTATACTTAGCAATATTATAAATCTCTGGCTAATAATAGGGACGGAAAGATAAATACTGATAGGCAAATGAGTTTTTTATTATTATTTTATTTTGGGGGGGTTTATGAGGGGGGTGTAAGATGAGTGCTGTTTTTGGTGATCATTAACTTGTTTTACAGTATTAGTCCACAATAATAAGAAAATTTGGGAGAAAAAATTCGGTTATTGTTGGGGTTGAGGCAACTAGATATGTCTGATTACAGCAAATGTGTTGTTGTCAATTTGTAGGTGAAAGATTTTATCCTCAATAGATGTAGGTTAACATTACACCTGGAGGCAAATGCCTAAAGAAGGAAGGATATTCCTTTTAGTTGTGTGAACAAATATTAAACAAAGTATATTATCATAAGTTTTCTTTTACAGAAAAGATGTATACTACTCCCACGAGGAAAGAACGGCTATCTTTGATTATATCGTCAAAACGAAGAGGTTCGGAGAGGTTAAAGGCACAGTGTTTGGCTGGATATGGCCGAGGCCCAGGTAATACTACACCTCTTACTGCAGTACCTGTTCCTGTTATAGCACATGAACCATCATGTTTATTAATACTCTACTTGTTTTATGCATGCATACATACAGTCAGCCCTTAACATACGCGGGGGTTAGGTAAGAGAGATACCCATGAATGTTAAAAATCCGTGTACTTTTGCCTCCCCCCCCCCTAAAAAACCCCTGGCCCCCCCATGTCCTTATTTACCATGTATACCTGTGTGTAGTTCGAGTTTTTAAGACCAAATTATTTGGCCAAAAATTAGGGGTTGACCTCTAAACGGCTAATAGTTTCGTTAGGTTGAAAAATATTTACCAGGAACTACCAGTAAACAATGGAAACGACGCACCACCGGCTTTGAGTGTCGGTACAGCTGCCAGGGCAGATCTCTTGCATCATAATAGCAAGCCCAAAGTAACCAAATGCATGGTATGGTATACACAGTATACTGCTAGATCTGGGGGTCACTAAATCTAAGGGGATAATTTAACTCTAATCTTAATGTCTAAGGGTCGCTGCCACCAGACCCCCTCTGGACAGCATGTAGCTCGTTAGGTAGCAGGCAGAGTGGACTAGGCATTGGGTTAGGTTTTCCATTGACCAGATCGATGAGGGTAAAGAAGGGGGAAACCATAACATGTCTTAATTGATTTATTCCTTCTAAAACATACTGGTAAAAACGACATACATGAATTGGCCTTCCTCAGAAGAACAACGGAATTTTGGTTACCCAGCTGGGCCCCAGACTCCTACATTACTGGCGGGTCATCCACCCACTTATTGCATAACAATCGGTGAACGCCGTATCTCGGTCGTTCCTTCTTACAATATCCCTTAACACATCAGACTGTTCCACTGGTGTGGATTTTAGCACCGTCGGTTATCATACATAGTAGCACCATCTCAACACACCTGTTACACTCCATACCTGCAAGTATGTGACTCCTTATGACTTTTAGGTATACACAACGGGCCCCTCGTTCGCATACCGCCCTCGGTGGGTAAAGACGAGGGCTTCACCTAGAGACATACCAGCACTATTTCTACGCCTGGTATTATAGGTCGCTCCAAGTGACGACCGCAGTTTCTCACGGTCTCCTTAGTTGTGACTATTCATGTGGAGTGGTGCGCTGGGAATCCACCGGTTCATAGTGGACTGGTATAGTGGGGAATCATTCCCCACCTGGTGTGGCGCTCAAGGAGACAATGGCGGCCGGGCGGCAAGATACCCCGACCACGTGGCACCTGTGGTGACGGCAGAACGGGAAAGACTAAGCAATAATGCCTGACGGGCGGTTATCCCACCCCTTAACACATCCCTATCACACTTATATATCCGGCAAAGCTTTAAACTGTAGTAACTGCTATTTATCAACCTTACTTGTAGGGCGGGATATAGCCCGCTAGGACACTGACCTGTGGTGACGGCAGAACGGGAAAGACTAAGGCCGGCTTCCCGCCGCTTCTCGTCACATAGGCCTACAGTTTCCAATCCTCAATTTACACTTTTGTTTCTTATGGTTCTCACCTGAACACTTCACGGTATCTTGTCACTCATTTCTTATAAACACATATATTAATCCTAAATTACACACTAAGGTCAGGTCTTGGTTTGCTAGTGCTTGGTTAAATGCCTGGGATTTTAATATCAACTGGGCATCTGAGGCGGGTACATGGCGCGCCTTGAAACCAAAGCCGAATGATCATGGCGGGGGTGTATCAACTTCACTTAAAAACTGTAATGAGGGATCCTCCTCTCACACATTGCACTATTTGAACACAGACATAAGATTCTCTGATCACTGTACCTGTCGTGGGTATATGTCACGTGAGGCTACGAGGTGTATTAAATTCATACCGACGCATACACGATATTTCCTTTCCAGTATAGTTTCTAGATCACTGTCAACACCTCACATAGTTCTGATACATTTATCCTTTTTCCAGATCATTGTTCTCATGTATTTTCATATGATATCTGTTGGAGTTATGTTCGCTCCACGCTCACAGACGTAAATAGTAGGACCTTCAAACCCTGATCCACACTTAGTCTTACAGTACCCTAGTCCGGCTCAACTGGACTTTAACATTCATCTTATGCCTACCCTGAGTGATCCTTAATGCTATGAATACATACACGTGATATGATATAACTATACCTGGGTACAATACAACACAGGGTCTAGGAACCTTGAGTAGGTGAGTTGTCCTTTCTCAATGTTTCCCGTTTTCTGGGGTTCTACAAGCGCTGTGCATTTGAATGTTATGTAGCGTAATATGAATTAGATGGGATTTTTAGGGATGACAATGATGTGCGCAGTACAACAGGACGATGTAAAACAAAGTATTCATTTTTTAAAGTTTATTTATAGATACTGTACATAAATTTTTGTTCATTACATTTGAAACATCAATCTTTGTTAATTAAATTTGAAACAAAAGAAAACTACTATACCATATTCTCATTAAAATATTACATCACAAGTATATTTTACCTTAACTGTGACTGAATGAATATATTCTCAGAAATAAATATGAAAATGTAATATTTTGGCTGAAATGACGTACATATTACAGTGGAAAGTGGGATAAAATCATGACGAAAACAATGACTTTAGCTTTCTTTCGTTGTTCGAAAGATTTTACCGTAATCGCATTTCGAATGGTTTTGAGTTAAAAAACTGTTGTACCGTACCGTATTACAATAATATTCTATCCTATCATTAGCCTCATAATCCCACAACTGAAAACCATTCGAAAAGTGATTACGGTAACGTGTTTTGAACGAAAGAAAGCGAAAGTCATTGTTTTCGTCACAATTTTATCCCACTTTCCACTGTAATATGTACAGTACGTCATTTCAGCAAAAATATTACATTTCCATATTCTCAGAAATAAATAGTAGTTTTGTTGAAACGTAATGTACGGTATTTAATATTAAAATGCAAAAAGAGCTATAAAATCAATTAATACTGTACATCCGTAATGTACTGGCTGGCATCCCCACTCGTCCCTGCTGCCGCCAGTCACCGCACCTCCCCGCTCTATGCCTCCGCCTCCTCCACGTCGTCACTACTGTTGTATTACAATAATATTCTATCCTAATTCACTTAAATAAGTACTACGATACCATATTTCTGAATATTTTCATTAAAATCCATCAAAATCTATTTCATTGTCATCGTCTTAAGCACCAAAGAGCTCCTCCCAGTCTTCTCCTTGAACAGGGCTAGAGGGTACGTGTTTTTCGAATCGTTTTCAGTTAAAAAACTATTACATGTATTATATCAAGCACAGTATGAATAGAATATCATTGTAATATAACAGAATTTCATCCGAAAACTATTAAAAAAACGAGTAACATCTTAAGAACATCGGAAGCTTAGGTAAAGTCTTTTGTTTTCGTCATGTATTTTTATCCTAATTTACATTGAAATACATCACGTTTCAGCAACACTATTTATTTCCAAGAATATATTCATTCGGGCGCAGTTTAAGTAAAATATACGTGTGATGTAATAGTTTTTTAACTGAAAACGATTCGAAAAACACGTACCCTCTAGCCCCGTTCAAGGAGAGGACTGGGAGAAGCTGTTTGGTGCTGCAGACGATGACAAGGAAAATGATTTTGATGGATTTTAATGAAAATATTCAGAAATATGGTATCGTAGAATTTATTCAAGTCAATTAGGATAGAATATTATTGTAATACAACAGTTTTTTAACTGAAAACCATTCGAAAAGGGATTACGGTAACATCTTTTGAACGAAAGAAAGATTAAGTCATTGTTTTCGTCACGATTTTATCCAACTTTCCACTGTGATACGTACGCCATTTCAGCAAAAATATTACATTTCCGTGAATGCATTATATCAAGCACAGTATGAATAGAATACCGGTGTAACATAACATTATTTTGAGTCTTACTCTTTCCATTTACAGAGTACTGTACAAGCCCATGATAATGGCTCCTATAGGTGATAAACTTCGTTGTGTGAAGAGAAAGAATAACTCGTTGAAATTGAGTGACAAACTTGAAATAATTAAGAAACTAGAATGTGGTGTGAGCAATACTGTTCTAATGGAAACATACGACATTGGAAAACAAACAACTGCTGTACTGAATAACTATTAATTTATGGACATATTTTTATCATAAACTGTTGTGTATATTAACTGTTTTTGTTTGTTTGTTCCAGATGTGTTAACGACTAAACCCTTGAGAAATTAACAACTGGATCATGGAGACTCTGCTGCTACAAGTATGTCTTTATGTCTGTCTAACTGTCTATCTTTATCTATCTGTGCTTCTATATCTTTCTATCAGTCTTTCAATACCTGTATGTCTGTCTGTTTGGTATCTATATCATCTATCAGACTGTCTTTATATATACAAGCATCTGTCTTATCTATATCTATGCTATCAGTAAGAAAGATATTGACATTGAGTGAGGAAGGTGGATACACAAGAGGTACAGTGAATGATGGTGGGTACACAAGTGGTACAGTGAGTGAGGAAGGTGGGTACACAAGAGGTACAGTGAATGAGGATGGTGGGTACACAAGAGGTACAGTGAGTGAGGAAGGTGGGTACACAAGATGTACAGTGGAGTGGATGGCAGACTGCAGGATGTTGCTGACTGTAAGTGTTATGTATGTGCAGGTAAATATGTGTCCATGACAAGACTGAAGAAACTCAACACTGAAGATTATCCGTGGACTGTGTGGATGAGTTCTGCTGCCTGGGTGACATGATCAGTGCTGGAGGGGGTGCTGAAGGCTGCTGTGTTGTGAGTCATGGAATGGGTTCTGCTGCCTGGGTGACATGATCAGTGCTGGAGGGGGTGCTGAAGGCTGCTGTGTTGTGAGTCATGGAATGGGTTCTGCTGCCTGGGTGACATGATCAGTGCTGGAGGGGGTGCTGAAGGCTGCTGTGTTGTGAGTCATGGGTGAGTTCTGCTGCCTGGGTGACATGATCAGTGCTGGATGGGGTGTGCAGAAGGCCTGCTGTATTTCAGTCATGGATGAGTTCTGCTGCCTGGGTGACGCGGTCAGTGCTGGAGGGTGCTGAAGGTTGCTGTGTTATGGTCATGGAATGGGTTCTGCTGCCTGGGTGACATAATCAGTGCTGGATGGGGTGCTGAAGGTTGCTGTGTTATGAGTCATGGATGAGTTCTGCTGCTTGGGTGACATGATCAGTGTTGGAGGGGGTACTGAAGGCTGCTGTGTTGTGAGTCATGGAATGGGTTCTGCTGCCTGGGTGACATGATCAGTGCTGGATGGGGTGCTGAAGGTTGCTGTGTTATGAGTCATGGATGAGTTCTGCTGCCTGGGTGACATGATCAGTGCTGGAGGGGGTGCTGAAGGCTGCTGTGTTATGAGTCATGGATGAGTTCTGCTGCTTGGGTGACATGATCAGTGCTGGAGGGGGTGCTGAAGGCTGCTGTGTTGTGAGTCATGGATGAGTTCTGCTGCCTGGGTGACATGATCAGTGTTGGAGAGGGTGATGAAGGCTGCTGTGTTGTGAGTCATGGAATGGGTTCTGCTGCCTGGGTGACATGATCAGTGCTGGATGGGGTGCTGAAGGTTGCTGTGTTGTGAGTCATGGATGAGTTCTGCTGCCTGGGTGACAATGGCTGGAGGAGGTTTTGGGAATTCTTGTCTTTATTGTCAGCATGGGGACTTTCCCATCACATGAAAGTAAGAATGTATACAACTGGTGTGAGAAGTGTGGTGTTATATATCCGTGAAACATGGGCAGTTAAAGAGGATGACATGCAGTCTTGAGTGAGCTGAAATGAGAATGGTGAGGTGGATGTGTACTGTGACGCTGAAAGATGAGAATCGCCGTTCAGAGCTAAGAGGGCGGCTGGGTATTGAGAGTATCGGCCAAGATTTACGTATAAGTAGACCGAGATCGGGAGTGTGGGGAGAATGGATGAGACCAGCTGGGTTAAGTGGTGCATGAGTCTAAATGTGGTGAGGAGGAGAGCCAGTGGTAGGTGGCCAAGAATGACATGGGGAGAGATTGTAAGAAATGATCTTAGAACCTGACAAGACAGACTGCAGGAGAATGGCTGTATGATTTGGGTGGTGATGATGATTTTGTTCTTGCATTCTATCTAAGTTTCAGGCTATCTATCTATCTATCTGTCTATCTATCTATACTACTGTACTGTATTTCTCACCATATTAAAGGCAACCACAGATATAGATATAGCATGAAAGGTTTATAGTCTCAAGAAAGTTCACCTAAACTAAACTTTCATAAAAGGAATTGCAATGTGTTCCATAACATGTACAGTACAGTTGACCCTCGCCAATGTGAAGAACGGATAAAAATAATGATAATAAATAAGAGGAAGGACAAAATACTGCATGCCATTTGACATTTTTTCACTAAAGATGTGAGAGACAGGGATGTGCTCCCCATTCTTGGGCTGACTCCTGCCGACGTAATAAAAATATATGTCTTATATGGTGGGAAATATGGTATATCTCTCTACATCTTTCTGTCCATCTGTCTACAGTATATCTGTCTTATATGTACTGTAGACAGAACTACTGTACTAACCATGATAGACAGTTGACAATGCATGTGATTAATACCTGGAATACAAATATTTGCAGGAAAATGTCCAATGTATTCAGCAACTAGACCACTTTAGTGATATAGAACCATGAAAATATTGTTTATTGTTTTTATACCAAAACACTGGTGATTGTCTCTCAGATACATCAGGAGTTGTATATCTTTAGTGGTGTCCTGGGTTCATTGCCCAGCCTGGGACAGATGTTACCCTCACTAACAAACATGGCAGGTTTTCTGCAGGTACAATACTACAGTTTCCTCCCATACTGTACAGTTTTAACAGACCAACTGCCTAAACGGCTCATTACCGGTAATTACGACGTCGCTACGTGAATCCTAATTTAATGTTGACTCGGCCATAGTGAGCTTTAACATTTATGCCACTGATGAATGAGTCTTGATCACACACAACTATAAGGTGGCCTTCTCTTGCCACTCCATCTCTCCTCTGGCCTTTATTGTGTAAAAGCCAAGAATTATTATTGTGTGAGAATGTAGTGGATCTGAGGTGACAATGATAAATATTTTGGCGTTAAGTCGGTGGTGTGGTACTGTGCAGGTCTGACCCACCTGTTACAAACTACTGCAGGGAGTGAAGACCTTCCTTAAAAAGTTTAACTTGGCAGGATTCAGAAGGCCACAACACAGACGTCCTCAACGGCACTTGATGGTTTATAACGGCCATTTATTATTACTTACTTTTGACCTTGATGATGTGGTTCAGCCATTATCAGATGCAGGTCAGGAACACAAAGGACTGTTCCTCTATAATGCTCACTGAGTAAATGAGGATAGTTGCTTCAAGGCTCCACTGGGCAGATTGTTACCAGGTTTTATTTACAATTCTTAATTATTACATGGAATTATACATTTTCCACAATATATACTAAACTGTATACCTGTGTTGTCTATATACATGGTGAACTGTATACCTGGGTTGTCTATATTGTTTTAGCTGTGGTAAGATACCAAACTATCTCACTTGTTAACACTTGCCTGAACGAGTGTAGGTTAGTCGCTGGTACCTTTGATGCAGCCGAGTGAGATATAGGGTCATCTCACGTCATGTCACCTTTGATGCAGCTGAGTGAGATATAGGGTCATCTCACGTCATGTTACCTTTGATACAGCTGAGTGAGATATAGGGTCATCTCACCTTTGATACAGCTGAGTGAGATATAGGGTCATCTCACCTTTGATACAGCTGAGTGAGATATAGGGTCATCTCACGTCATGTTACCTTTGATACAGTCGTAGATAGTTTAAATTGTCACAGCTGTCCTGAGTTGTACTTGTAATTATCTTCGCTTGTAAGTTAAGCAAGACACACAGATAATGTTCTCTTCACTCGTTGTTCCTTGGTTTAATGTAATCACACATGCTGATTTAATAGTTATATTGGGTAGTAATGTCTGTACAATTATTTGGTATTGACAGACTAATGAGCATTAGCTATTGGCTTGTAATTAGCTGATATAATTAGAGAGAGGTACAGCCCGGAGAGCTGGTCTCACTTTAGGGCATCGTGTCCGGCTGTGAACTGGGCTGAACTCTCTTGAGTCTGGTGACTGGACAGTAACCACACTTCAACAGGTCATTAACTAAACAGCCTACCACACACTGAGGGTTGAGTCTGTAGTTTAATGGGCTGTACACCCTAGGAGGTGTGACAGAAGAAATGTTTATGGGCTGTACACCCTAGGAGGTGTGACAGATCAAATGTTTATGGGTTGTACACCCTAAAAGGTGTGACAGAAGAAATGTTTATGGGCTGTACACCCTAGGAGGTGTGACAGAAGAAATGTTTATGGGCTGTACACCCTAGGAGGTGTGACAGAACAAATGTTTATGGGCTGTACACCCTAGGAGGAGTGACAGAACAAATGTTTATGGGCTGTACACCCTAGGAGGTGTGACAGAACAAATGTTTATGGGCTGTACACCCTAGGAGGTGTGACAGAACAAATGTTTATAGGCTGTACACCCTAGGAGGTGTGACAGCAAATGTTTATGGGCTGTACACCCTAGGAGGTGTGACAGAACAAATGTTTATGGGCTGTACACCCTAGGAGGTGTGACAGAACAAATGTTTATGGGCTGTAAACCCTAGGAGGTGTGACAGAATAAATGTTTATGGGCTGTACACCCTAGGAGGTGACAGAACAAATGTTTATGGGCTGTAAACCCTAGGAGGTGTGACAGAACAAATGTTTATGGGCTTTACACCCTAGGAGGTGTGACAACAAATGTTTATGGGCTGTACACCCGAGGAGGTGTGACAAAACAAATGTTTATGGGCTGCACACCCTAGGAGGTGTGACAGATCAAATGTTTATGGGCTGTCCACCCTAGGAGGTGTGACAGAACAAATCCTTATGTAGCTGTATGCTCAATAGTCTGGGTGATAGAATGTATGTAATGAATATATGTCCTTAGCTCATATTTATATAATATTAATGTGACAGAGGCTAATACAATATTCTGAACTGTATACCTCTATTGTCTATATACATGGTGAACTGTATACCTGTATTGGCTATATACATACTGAACTGTATACTTACTTTGTCTATATGCAGGTTGAACCAATTGTAAACTTATATGATAAGTTCACTTAATAAATATATATCTATCTTTCTAAAGTGGTCTAGTGTATGTAAATATTTTGAGCTTTTCCCTGATAATGTTG